AACAAAAGAAGCAGAATGTGTAGTTCCTCAACGCGCTTGAAAGGTTCTATCTTTTAAAACGTTGGCATTGCAGTTGAACATTCTTCCCGGTATACGAACGCGCAGAAGATCCTGTAAAATACCATACCGTCAAGTGTCATCGTAAGACTTCTCGAGATAAAAAAAACACTGAAAGGTAAGTTGTCTGTTAACAAAAGCTTCTCTGATAAGAGTTTCAAAGCGGACAAGCTGACCAGCTGTAAACCTTGGAGCACGAAAACCACATTGAAAACAACTTAAGACTCTTGCTCTCCATATTAAAAATAAGCCCGTTGTTTACAAGTCTCCTAAGAGTCTTTCCCAGACAACCAGTCAACACAATAGGGTGGTAACTAGAAGTTTTATATCTGTCTTTTAATATTTTAAAAGCGGGACTATAATGGATTTTTTCCACTCATTGGGTAGCTGCCCTTCTTTACATTCGTGATCAAAAATATAAGAAAAAATCAATTGTTGCTTCAGAGAGATGGGTTAGTGAGATTTAATGGACTCTATCAGAACGTGGGGCTGAAGTCTCTGATCATGCAAGAACGTAACGTAGCTCAGGAAGTGTAAAAGTTGGTTGAACTCTTCCTTGTTGCTGGCAGCAGCAACAGGCCTAACCTTCTCTGCCGTTCCCTTCTGACTTAATATGTTAGTGTTGTAATTTCCACATCCTGATATTCTTTTGGAATGCCTGCTCGTAATGCTAGCCTGCTCTTCCAGCGAGGAGGGGGTATCGAAATTAAGGGGATTGAATACTGACGGAAGTCCCCGTCTATTTTCCTCACCAAGTCTCAGACGACCTTGACACGTGTGGAACTGTTAAAGGAGGAGCCATATCCAATTCAAGAGTTATTTTTTACCTGCTTTCGGACATAGCGTGCTTTCGCACGCATCTGCTTAAAGGCAAGACATTTCGAGGAGTGCAATATCAATGCAGAAGTCATCAGAATTATTTTTGTGTTTCCTTAGCTTCGCGGCACTCATCGTTCAACCAAGGCTTAGGATGTTTAGGAAAAAGCCTGTCGTTTGGGAAATAGTAACCCGCGCTGCCTCTATTAAGATTGTTGTGATAGGGTCGTCTACTTCACCGACAAAAAGCGTGTCAAGGATGTCATGGGAGAAAACAGCAGTATTACGAAAAAGCTCCCAATTTGCAGGTTCAAGCTCCCCCAGGGAAGGACACGACGGCAATCTGGGCAGGAGTTGCGTTCGGGCCACGTGAACTGGGAAATGATTACTGGAATATGGGTTATGAATCACACTCCACTGAAAAAAGGTAAATATTTCCGGGGAACAAATGAAAGATCGATACAGGAAAACGAGCAGTGAGGTGAGCTGAAATATGATTATAATGCAATTAAAGCCAAAGGTGTTGGTTAGTCTGTGTTAAGCACACAGAGTTCCCTTGATGAGACGAAACGTTCAATCACTTTTTCCTGACTGTCCAACCGTTGACTCTCCCAAAGTGGGTTGTGTGCATTAAAATTCCCAAGTATAAAAAAGAGTTCTGGAAATTGATCAAATTGATCTACCAACTCTTCAAGATCTCCCGCTGGTAAAGTAAATGAAGATGGCATGTACAATGAGCAAACAGTAACCAACCGATTAAGTAAAATACGTACTGCAGCAGCCTCTAGAGGAGTGGCTAGAGTTACTTCACAGGCTGCAACATAACTCCACAACAATTGTAACTCCTCCTGAAGAGCTAGAGGAGCTTAAAATATCGTTTCCAAAAAGTTGAAATGACTTAAAAAATTGGTATTCGATGGTTTTAAGTTTGTTTATTGAAAGCAGAGTGCTACTGGCTCATGTTTCTGAAACAGAAAATTTATATCTTCTAAATTAAAAAAAAAAACTCTGCCAATCCATTGCATAAGGCTCCTGGCCATAAAACAAGAAAAAAAACAAGAGGACTGTGCATTATGGTCCAGTGATCCTGGTTGTTCTCTTTTTTGGGTCACTTCTCTTGCATGGGATTTGAGGCCCACCCTTGGGAGGAGGCACCTTCCGTCTGTGACGGGGTAACCTCCATCTCCTCTACTGATGCCTTCAATCCTTTCGTACGGCTCGGTGCATGTCCACCTCTCTTTGGTGTATTCTGTGACGCACCCTGAGAGAAGGTATCTTCCGTCTGCAACGGGGTGGCTTCCTTCTCCTGTGTTGGCTCGGTGCAGCAGCTGTCTGTAGAGCTAAGAAGGAACGCCCAGGAGTTGCGGTTTAACCTGGGACCTGGAAACTTAAGTGGTTGCGCAAGCTCCGAAGACGGCATTTGCGTTCCCACAGTTGCCTTGGGCGATGCAGGTCCCCTGAGCACTCCCTCGACAAACGAGCGTCTCTGAAACCCAGAGAGCCGTCGCTTCGCTTCAGTGTAGGAAATACCCTCTTTCACTTCCAGGGTTAGAATTTATTTTTCTTTGTTGAAATGATATCAAGATCTCGAATACGCCGGGTGGTTCCGCTTACAGTTAACACACCTGGGATCTTCGTGGCAATCATCTGCAGTGTCCTCGCTGCTCCCACATTAGCACATGTCTCCCGACCACGGCGGGACCGCGAGCTGGACCCACACCGCTGGCAACGGAAACAGTGGAGATGGTTTGGCACGTAAGACCGAACCCTACAATTCAAATATCCTGCTTTCACAGAGGACGGTAGGGTATGTAGTTCGAAGGTGAGGAAGATGTGCTTTGTAGGGATTTCCTTTCCATTCCTTTCAATGGTGATACGTTTGGCAGGGACAACGGCCTGGCCATATGCATACCTTCAAAAAGTTCTTCCATGGAACATTCCATGAGGTCATCCTCCGAAATAACATCACTAACGGTGGTAGTTGACTTGTGAGCAGACACGATTACCTCTATTTCCTGGATATGGTTAAGCCAGTGCAAAGCCACTGCCTGTTTTCTTTTTCGAATACCTCTATGAGAGGTCTGAAGTAAACATCTTTTTCCAGTTAAACCTTTCCACTAAGAGACTTTTCAGCACCTTTGCAACAATGAAAGGTGATATCTTAGACAATGGCTCAGATGCGTTATCGGCATGAACTACAAAACATTTGGTGATATAGTCAGCGTTACTTCGTAAATCCAAAGGAGGAAACTTTTCTTCGTTGCGGACCCTTTTCAGGGACCGATCAGAGGTCTTGTCTTGCTTGGAACCCATATAAATGGGAAGGAAAGTTCAGTGCCTGGGTGCACCGCCCACCACGCAGCCCAACAAGGGGGTGAGTAATGTGTTATAGCAAGGAGGGCATGGTTGACCCAATTACTCTATCAGTGCTGCCCGGGTACTATAGCCGAGTGTGGTTGCTGGGACAGGTCATGTTTTCACTCAAGGTTGGTGCTTTGACCTCCTAAGAAGTTCCTAAGAAGTAAGGGGGTGTAAAATAAAAGAAAAAGCGGTGGAAGGAAATGTGAGAGGAGGAAGAAGAGGGTAGAAGAAGTGACTGCCTGAATCATCCTGGTCGGCCAAGCAAGGACACCCGTCCACGAGACAGGGGCCGAAGTGGTATATTGCCTCGGCCGGGGGGACCCAAAGAGTCCAAACATACACCGGGCTCAGCTTAATAGCAAAGGCACCCTTTTTCCCGGACACGGGTTAAGCCACGCACAGCCAGACGTGGGTGGGCGAACCCACATGGCTCGGGGCTCGTAGTGACGCCACTCACCAAGTACCTACTAAAGCTAGTGCCCCTGCGTGCGGGTAAGGTGGCCCTCATGGCTGCGGTCCTTGGTGAAGCTACTCATCAAACACCTAGCAGGTTAGGTGCAGGCACCCCCTGCGGGGCTCGGGGTACGTGGAAACTGCATTCTCCACACACTTGATTTCACAGGGGCCCCCTGCGGGGGACATATATATGTATATATATGTATATATTGATATATTCATTCCTGCCTGTGCCCATCCTCTATTAAACCGTAATGTGCTGGTTCATGACTATAGAAGCAAACATAGAACTGAAGCTGGGTAGTGTTCATTCACGGCTAATCTGAAATAAATAAATGCAGTATCTTAGCACTGTCACTGACTACTGGGGACGTGACTAACAATGCAACATGTTATGCATCATAAATACAATGTAGAACCACGTACAACCAAGTGTTTGCTTATGCGTCAAAAAAGCCCTCAGTATGGGAAAGCCCATACCCGGCTTACTGTTCGCGCCTCACCGTTCGAGGCTATACGTGACCCGGTTAAAGTCCTAAGTAACTGAGCCAGAGTGTTGCCTTCCTTTCTCTTTCGTGAAAACTCCCCATTGGAGCCTAAGGGTGTCACCTATGACCAAAAACGTAGCAAAACGCTGTGGACAAGAAGTGGTCTTTCAGGACGCAGAGTTTTGGGAAGAAAATATTTTTCGCATCGCGTTCTCAAAATGTCGATCCTACATTGAACTCACTAGCAGGAGGCATATTCACACTTTGAACGTTATTTTTTTTTCCACTTAGACGAATGCAGAATATTTCCTTTTTTTATGAGGCGAGCGGTGTCTTAAAGCGGTCAACGGCAAACGGACCTCGACTACACAGCGAATGTATGTCTGCTAAAAAAGTTAAAAATATAATTAGCGAATATTAATTGATTAGGTTATTAATTGTTTGTTTATGCTCGTTTACTGACGTCCACCGTGGGCGATAATTTTAGTTAATAAAAATTATGTTTTTATGTCCCGTATATGTTTTTCCTAAGATTTCTTTCGTCTTAAGAAAAAACACCCACAATAGAACGGTATGAAATAAGTAATACACTTGACTCTAGTACATTAAATGGCGAAAATTCCTGCGAGATTTTACAAAAATATTAAACCAATAAAAAATTGTACCAGACGTTCGAGTAACAGTTTTGGTCTAAGTCGTCTTAGCAGATGGTAAAAATTGTTTCTGTATTTTCTTTTCAGAAGTTATTGTAGCATGCTAAAACACTCTCCAATAATGTTTCTGTCTCTTGTCCTTCTCTTAGCATTCTGGTGGACATGTTACCTGATTTGTGACGTTCGTCAGCCATTTTCCGACTTGGGAGTCCGATCTTGTATCTAGTTCTGTGAATCCATCCAAATGGAAGGCAATAGTAATGGTCTTGTTAGCTATATATTTTGATTAAAAGAAACAGATAGCATGAATTAAAATATATCTTACACTTATATAGTAATTCTAATTTGCATTTACGTTGGAAGTTTATTACAATTTATTTTTAAGAACGCCAACTTAAAAGAATATTTGGCATTTATTCTAAAAATCACCTGCATTTGTATACTCCATCATAAACGAAATCTATTTTTCGCTTTTACTCTAAATTCTCAGGCATTTTTTTACCACCTCCTTACACTTAGCAAACAGGAGAGCGTCAGTTTTAAAAATCGTCTAACAACGCATCTTTGCGTTTCCTAACGAAATACGCTGTGGAGTGCACGTGTACGCTCGCAATTTGAGAGCGTTGCAAGCTTATAATATGCCGCATAATTATGTTGAATATCGTAAAAAAGTAATTAGGTGCTGCGGTGTTCAGACACTCCTCTTTTCCTAATGCAATATTTTGTGTGAGTAATTCGCATCTGTCAGTGAACATTAGGGGAGGTGCCCAAAAGGGGCGTTTTCTATGGTATTTTTTTATTGATCTCGGTGTCTTGTCATGTTCAAAGTACACAAGCTCCAATGACTCTTTGTGATGCCTGATTTTCATTTGTTTAAGGGTCAAACATCACTTTGGGAGATCTAATGCTATATTTCTATATAATGCGAATCAGCCCACATAATGTGCATAAATAAATATTCCTTTTAAAAGTGTATCTCATAGAAATACTTAATAGAATATGACGTGTTTTTATTTTTACAGAAACAATGCAGGTGTTCTTCAGAACGTCCCTGGCTGCAGACACACGCACAGAAATATTTATTTCTGAAATGTGATAATTATTGCATAGTGCCAACGTTATATACAAGATATTTACGCCATTTTCCGCCACTATGACAAGGGGAGTAGAATACTTCTGGTTCTCCAATGTGTAACTCGTGTTCGAGTGGGTGTACTACGACTCTTGATGCTCTAGCGAACGATTGCGTGAGAACTACGCTCTAAAGGTGCCCCAGGGTTGTGTTTTCTTTTTTTTTTTTAAGTTGCCGATGTTCACCGGCACGAACTAATGTCACAGGTGAGGTTTCTGGAGACGAGGGACACCGCGAACGCCTCCAAAGGGCCGCCGAGGTTTGGTGTTCGAAGAAAGGCGGCGACAATGCTCGCCCACATCAAGGTGTTGACGACAGGTGGCGCAAACTGAGGAATGAGAGGATGAGGCGGAGCGGCGATTTGGCCGACCATCTTTGTACAATGACAGGTGCAAAACCTTTGATTACGGGACGTAGAAATTCAAGACCATATCGAGCTTTGAGAAAGCAACGCTGAATACCATTGCAAGCAAGTTAAAGCATTAAAAAATTGTATATTACAAAGACTCGCGACTCTGTAGTGTACCAAAAAAACTGTGAAACGCAAGCCCGCAGGAACACACACTTATAAACAAAAGCGAGCCCGGAATAAAATAAAAGCCACTTTGGTTGCTCGCATTCCAGGTACCTGCCAGATAATAACATTAGCTGAGGAAGATATCAGCTAACAGCAGTAAAAATATCTCTCGCTTGCCGCGTGACACATGAGTCGTAAAGCGACTCGTTCGCAATTTTTAAATTTGTGAAAACAAAAATATGAATCGTATATAAAAAACATGAGTCGTAAAACAAACTGTTGCACGCTTTCTAATTTGCCAATGTTTAATACTGTATAAGGGTCACAAACCTGAGAGCCATATTCAAGTACAGGCCTAACGAGGGTTTTGTATGCACTGAGTGTTATATCAAACAACGAGTGCTTTAGATAGCGCTTCAAGTATCAAAGTTTACCGTATGCCTTATAAACAACAAAGTCAACATGTAGATTCCACTTCAAATCAACAGCTTTTACGTCACATAAACGTGTATTATTTATTCCTGCGGCCCTCAAAGTTGCGTCTACACGCAGTTAAAAAATCCTCTCAGTCGAGATTTTATAACAACACAATAAAGTACATTGCAAAAGCAAGATCCGTTTCGTTGTGTGGACATGTTTTGATACCAGGTAAAAATGTATTGAAAACAAAAAAAAATAGACTTGACACCCCTATAACCGTCCTTATCTGAATACAGCGAGAAGCGATGTGCGTCTTTAAGTGATAAGAGGCGCTTTGGTCGACGGTGGGCGCGCTGTTCAGCTCAGAACCTTGAGCCTATAAAATGAAGCATCTCGAAACATGAGCCTTCTTCTGCTGAAAAGTAGTCAACTCACGAATTACAAGTACGATGTATGTTTACGACATGCTCTGATTTCAAGTATATGTACAACTTTCAGGTACCGTGGTTTGAGAATCGCACTCCCTAGCTCATGAATAATCTCCTTCAAAATGAAGGTGCTTGCTTACTTCTTACCGGTATCAAAGTATGAGGTAAAGTCCTTATATCACTCGCATTTCACGAGATAAGAACTAGCTCCGCATCGCAGAACCAACCTTCTACTGCTGTTCAACGACAATCATCCGCCAATTTTGATAGAAAATAGTGCGGCCCCTAGAGGCCGTTGAAGTTGCGTGTAGATGTTCAGTACGAGTTGTGGTGCCTGACTTTCAGATGATTCTATGGAGAGGACATTCTTGAGACGCCTTGGGGACCGCAGCTTCAAGGCACATCGCCCTGCCATTGCGGGCGTTAAATCACGCGGAATCCATTAGGAAAAAGACGTGCATAAACTGGATCACTGGAGAATGGTGCGCTGCAGTAAAAGAAGCTGCAATATGGCACGCATGCTGGGGTATCTTTACCAAGTGCATTGCAAGTATTAATAAAATCCAGACGGCGGCCTTTTGTCAACATTTCTATTATAATTCATTCTTAGCGTGGAATGAATAAAATATTGTGAAACGTTTACTCAAGAACGATAATTTTTGTTTTGTTTTATCTTTTCTTTTGTGGGCTAAATTGAACTGCGTAGGCAGTGATATTTTGAAAGTTGTGAACTGTCCCACAGTCTTTGGCTGCGATCGAACCCAAAATGGAACGAAATATAGCCTACAGCCTCTGAGGTATCCGAAGGGAAGGGACTGGGAAGGCCGCCGCCTTGTGAACAAAAAGTATCCAGCCTTGAGGTTTCAGACTTTTCACCCTGAGGGTATTCGAGAAAATAGCTGCCAGTTGCGGAAATAATTGTAAACATCTCTCGTATTCCGCGGCGGCCGAATTTGATTTGGCGGCAGCGAGTTTGACGCAAGTGTAAACGTGCCATTAGGTGCTTATTTGGGGTTTTGTAATTTCTATAATCGAGTACCAAGCCAGTCTTGAATCAGTGGAATCGCTGACCCTAGGCGACAGTAGCATGAGAGTTCGGTCGATCATTCGGTGAACATGAATGGTCACTTTGTTTTCAATTGAAGTCAGTATTGACAGCAGTGTTCGAAATTCCGCTGGTGGTCGTAATCGGTTAAATCTTGCGAAAATAATAAGAACAGCTTCCCTTTTTTGCTTTGCGGAAACATTTTCTTTAAGAGTACTTCATTTTTTTGTATCATAAAGCAGAAAGGTATCAGAGTAAGAAGCAATTGAAAAACTCTGAGTGATCACGTTTAAGATTACTTAGACTTTAACCCATGTTCTAACACGTCGTCCGTTATTTACAAGCACGTTTGCATTACTGGCCCCTAGAAACGTTTTAAGCGTGTGAATAAAATTCCAAAAACTCTTTAATTGTTTTTTTCTTAGTCTATCGGGAATTGTCTTTAATCATCGCTGTTTTCTCCGACCAAATGAAGCACTGGCCAAAATAAATTATATATCTAAGTACATCAGCGGGTTTTTTTTCATAGACACCGGAAAAGCTCAAGTCTAAATGTAAGATATCTAGCGCCGAATCGGCCATACCAAATCGCTCGTCGATGCACTGACCAGTGTAAAGTAGCGTAAAATGTGGGAGGAAGCATTTAAATGCCAAATGGTTAGTTCTACCAAGTGTAACATGTTAGCGATTATCGGCATAGGGAATGCCAACGTTTGGACTGCGTGAATTTTCGTTCAGATGGAAATACAATTTCGTTGGATGGCATATCTCACTACGATCCTTTAGAAACAATTCAGTGGGTTGCAATCAAAGCTCTTCTCTGTTCTTCAGGGGAGGCTCTTTTTGGTCGTTACAAGTTGGCGAATTTTGCGTCTCTTACTAGGGCAAATAGGAAAGAAGATAAAAACAAAAAATTACGCCATAACTGCATTAACTACAATATTTCTTGTTTTTATATTAACATCTACTCTAGGATCTGGTGCACAGTTAAATAAGACTTTATATCAATCGTCTTGCACCCCTTGCACAGTTACACCAAAAGCGCACCTGAAGCCACTTTTTTTCCAGCGGTATAACGCCCTTAAAACAATCGTAATACAAAAAATACGTGTAACACTGCTTCGTTTGAAAATTAGTCGCATTACAAGATCTTTCTGGTCCTTATTAAAGAAAAGCATCATTTAAAAGGCTGTCCATGAGTCATTCTCTTGAATATAGATTATGATTGTTTATGTTTTTAATTTGTAGTTTCATAAGTTTTCTCATGAAACCAAGGTTTCATTAGAAGTACAGTCGTTATTTTTGAGTTTAGAGCCGCGCGTGGCCGGATCAGACTCGCTCCCGTGCAGCGGCGCTCTTATCATCGGCGCCCGCTGGTTGCGAGGTTTTTGAGATCAAGGGGGAAGTTCGCTCTTGCATGGCGCTCGCCTTGATAACTAATGGTGAATTCCACTCGTAGATCTGGAGCGCTTTCCAAAATCCGCAAGGGAGGCAAAATTCCGCTCCGTGGGACCCGCTCCGAATCGACGAGGGGAAGATAAACTTGCATTTTTGGAGCTATCGCCCCCACACCCCCCTCCCCACCCCTTCTCCCTCCGCCGTACAAATGGCCGCTGCTCGAACTTGACAAGCCCACCAACGCCTCAGCCGGCTGATATTTCCGATGACTAGTGACGACTGTCACTGCTTAGCTGCATGAGTAAAACGCGACACAGGCCGGGCGAAATTATA